TACACAGCGTATCTCTTCCCGAAGATTGCGAATGAGTTGCTGATACGGGGACTCCTGGGCTGCAAAGTGCTCCAGGCGCTTGTGGAGGGCATCGAGAGCCTTGAGAGTCGGGCCCCGCATGCGAGTCTCGAAGTGGCCCACTTCACGAGTGTATTCGGCATGAGCTTCAAAGACTGCCTGGTGAACAAGAGCATGAGCGGCACGGCAGGAAAGCAGTGGAGAGGACTCACCCGGGCGTAGCAGACTTGGCGGGCCCAGAGGTACCAGGTGCCAAACTCGGGTTGTAGCGGATTCAAATCCAGGGATGGCTTTTTGGCGGCAACAATCCCGATGCGAGCCTCCAGGAGTACCAGCTCGGCGGAGGCACCGAGGCGAAGACCATAGTGCTCGTCGGGGAGACCAACGTGGATGGCCTGGGACGGGAGGGGTGGCGAGAGGGAGCATGTCATTGCATTGATGAAAGGCGGTGATGAGCCAGCAGAAAGTGAGAACAGGAGAATGAAGCGAAAAGGCTGACAGCATGACTTATACCTACCGGCGGGTGTGGGAACGTAGCTGAGCCACACTGATCGGAGCGAAAACACCATATCAGAACGTATTCCCAGCCAATCGGGACACAGAACTGAGCGCCAACAAAGCACAGCCACAGACAACGGATGTCGGGAGGTCCCGATTATGGCAGCGCTTAGACGTGCAGAGGCCCAGGAATGGCAGTTCAGCGAGGAGAGTCACACCGGCGCCGGTAAGCCTTGTGAGGTCTGTTAAGATGTGAGGTGGGCCCACATACGGTGCCGCCGGATTGGGGTGATGCGGACCAGCGGGGACCGACACTGACCCCCGGAACGAGGCCACTGGGCCGAGCTCAAGCCGGTGGGAGCGAAGTACATGAGGAACCACTACAAAAAGCTACGCAGAACTGACAGAGGGAATGCAGATGGGAGGGGTGAAAAGACGAAGCGGTACTCGATGTTGGTGGGACTATCGAGTACACGAAGTGAGAAAGAGACGACGGGGTGAGAAGAGAGAATACGAGAGGTATTTATACTACGACAGCCCATGGAGAACAAAGTGAAGGTCCGAGATCGAAACGTCAAAGCGAGGCATACGCCGCACAGGGGTCGACTGCCACACGCTTTGGCAAGAAGTGAAAGCGCGTTGTGTCGCGACGCGGGATGCAATCGTCACGTGTCGTCCTCCTGCAGACCCTGGACATACTCGTTTGTCCAACCCAGCAAGAACAACTAAACCCTCTGGTCTACCGACCCGCCATCCCGGACACTTACCCCATGAGTCCTGTTATCAATATCGAGCATCTCCGATGGTATGAAGAAGCGGATAAGCAATTCGCAGGACTGGATCGCCCTGTTCTGCCCGACCACAGAGGATCCATATTCATGGCATCCGAGGAGTACGAAGTGGAGAAGATCGTTTCTTGGCGTGGGAATAAGGCCAAGGGCAACAAGCTAGAGTTCCTGGTCCGATGGAAAGGATCCAGCCCTGTCCACGACACTTGGGAACCGGCTTCACATCTCCAGAACGCGCACGAGATTTTGAGGGAATTCAAGACCGATAATCGACTGACCCGCTACCCGCGCCTCCACAGGCCTCAAGATTGCTTGACAGCAAAATCCGGATCTCCCTCGTCGGGGTTGACTCAACGAGGCCGGTGCGCTGGTGGTTCCAGGACTTCAAGACAGGTAGACTGCCGGAAGAGGCGAACGAGAGGTAGAGGAGGAGGATGGACTTTTTCGTGTCGTTGTTACTCTCGGTCGCGCTACCCTGACTCGACACACCCTATGCTGCCCTACATCGCTGCCTGCCCATTACTATATAAGCCTCATGATCACACCCGACGAAACCACCACCGATTCTCCTGTTGTACTGTAGTATGGCGGGACCACGTCTTAGCACATCTGTTCACTTGTTGCGATTTATAAATGCTGAATTCATCATCATCATCATCATCATCATGACCCGCTACCCGGAAGTCCATAATTAGAAGTATCATACGTGTCCGGCTCTCTCCTCAATCAGTGCCTCGCATTTACTCGCTATTATACCCTTTAATCACGTCTAGTCCAGGACCCGCGTCCGTGGAGGCGCGCGGACTGGTGTGCACGTGACCGCATCACGGAACGCGCTGCCACAAGTTCGACTCGAGCGCCTCCGGTCCTCATCCCTCTTCTTTCCCTCGGTGAACGGGTTCCCTCTATTTGACTTCTAAAGTAATCTACATTCACTCTATTCTAGTAATCATGCCATCAAGCAATTGGCTCTCGCACTCAGAATGGCGAGCTCTCAGTCCATTCCAAGCTCTCGCGCCAGCGAATAGCTCGCGCGCCTACGGCGCCAGTTCCTATGCCTCGTCGATCGCGCCTCGAGGCTCTCGACCACTTCCTTTCCCATCTTGCGGCCCACCAGCTTCGCCAGCTGCTTGGTCCGAGCCTATACGGAAGTCGGTGGGCGCTACATCGCCGAGCAAGTGCCCGCGGGCATCAAGCGCCGAGCTACTTGCTCCTGACTTCCACCTCGCTCCTGGTCCCACCTCGCGCCCCAGACTCCACTCTGCTCGAGGCACCACTCTCGCGGGCGACCGTTGAGATGACCACCGAGTAGTGCGGAACTGCCGCGCGCTCGGTAGTCACCCCGCTGACGCCAGTCCAAGGCCCAAAGTCGAGCAACTGCCCACACACCCTCGAGAGTCCGACTCGTCAAACTCCCGACTCGAGGTCCCGTCCACGGCGCGGACGACGCACGCGCAGCGTGTCTGCAAGTCCCACGAACAAGCCACGTTGGCGCATGCAAGAGCAAGCACCGAGAAGGCCGTACAGACAGCGCCGGCGAGCAACGCGCTTTGCATCTGCAGGACCTCGCAAGACGCGTCGACGCGCGCCCCAAGGCCCCCAGAGGATGCTTCCGCCAGCTCGAGGACGAGCCGCTGCGAAAGGACGAGCAGGGAGGTCGACGGGCAGGAGTACCGCGTCAGGTCGACTCTGGTGAGTACCTCAGTTCCCCAGTTTCCACCTTCCTCGCCCTTGCACACGCGTTGCATGCTTCCGACCCCGTACTCTCCTCGTCCTCATTCCGCGAACACGTCCTCGATCGATGCACTCGCCTCCAAGCGCTGCCCTCATCCTCACACTGTCATCCATCCGCTGCCCTCTCCTTTGCTCGCCGTCCATCCATCGTCATCTTCGGATCTTGGCTTTCTGTCGCGCGAGGAACGTCAAGCCCACGTCCGCGCGCTCCACGCCTGGGTGAAGGCCGCTGCTGAACGGGCGGCGCTTGCACCAAAGCATTGAAGGGACACTCCGCCCATCTCGGTTCTCGATCCTTCCACGGCCTATGCAATCCCTCTCTCGGAAGGCCCCCAAGGCGATTGCCAAGTAGCGCAATACCGCCCCGCTGGCACAAACTCGTTGCGTGAATACTGGCAAGTCCGTGTCGGCGCGTTCCATGCCAGAGAAACGGCCGCGGCCGAACGAGCTGCTCTCGAGCTTGCCCCAAGGTTCCCGGAGGATGCCCCGTCCGTAGCAAGACCGAGCAGACGTGAGGGAGTATGAGAGAAGGAGTCAGGCACGAGGGCGTTGGATTGGAAGGTCGACAGAGAAGGGACGCGAGCAGAGTCGACCGCAGCCGACGCCTCGACGCCCCCATGCCATGCTCGCTCGCCTGCTTCCGGACCCGTTCACTCCGTTCCTCCGTCCCTCCTCGTGCTCACTTCGCAACCCGCGTGCTCTCCCCGCTCCACGTCGCCCGAACCGCACCCTTCACCGCCGTCGACTGAGAAGTTGGTTCTGTAGCATCCAGCGTCCTCAGCGTCGAAGGGGCGGCCGTCGGGAGCGCGGGGGAGAGGCTAGGACCATTGGCGAATCCGGACGAGGAGGAGGCGTCACGGCAATTCTGGGCGGCGAACGCGAAGCTGGAGACGGAATAGTGAATCCGCCAGGTGCAGGGTCATTGACCCATCCTTCGTTGATGTTTTCGAAGAACGAGGCGGCTTGTTCGGTCCCCGCTGCGGCATACGGCGGCGCGGCAGTGATCGCGCTCGACGCAGCCTGAGGGGACGGGACACGGGGCTTCGCCGCCACAACGTCCGCGCGGCAGGTATCGCGCCAGACTCAGCTGGGAAAGCGCGTTGGAAAGAGAGAGGGGGGTTGTCGTCTGTGATTGCCGTCATTCCGTATTTGACTTTCCAGCTTTCGATGAGGTTGTTCTCGTCGCTGTCTTGGTCGGCTTGCTCCGCTTGTAGACACTTTCGAGTCTTCTTACCAATGAACTTGGGAAGAGCGTGCATCTCGTCGTCCCAGTATTATAGGGGATTTTCGACCAATGTTCGGGGTCAGGGCGGGGTCAGGGCGAGGTTTTCACAAAAAACCAGACCTCTGCGCATGGGGAACACCCATCTTCTTCCTTTTTCTACCCACACTCGCACTACACGCGCCATTGCGGGTAAAGCACGGCTGTCCGAAAATGGTTACCCGCACTCGCGCTGCAGCGCGAGTGCGGGTAACCGTACATAAATTCTCGTGTTGTGGTAGTGTTTTACCCTCATCCGTGCGCCAGCACGGATGCGGGTCAGCACATTCCATGCATGCATACTGATTCAACCCGCACTGGCGCTGGCAGCGCCAACGCGGGTGTGCTATACCACATATGTGACCTGTTACCCGCACTCGCGCTGGTGACGCGAATGGGGGTAGAGACAGTACAATAATTGTACGCATTGTTACCCCATTCGCGTCACCAGCGCGAGTGCGGGTAACAGGTCACATATGTGGTATAGCACACCCGCGTTGGCGCTGCCAGCGCCAGTGCGGGTTGAATCAGTATGCATGCATGGAATGTGCGGCTGACCCATCACCTTTCAGTTATTACTTGTGCTGATGGATGAGAGCGTCGCACGCGACCTGCGACTGGAGAACATGTTCGTGGTCAACTTTGACAACCTTCCACCTGATATGCGAACCGGAGAGTACGTTCGTGTTATGCGGCACTGTGTGATTTACTGGGCTGACCTCAATGTTCACCAGGGTGTTGTATCAGAACATCATCATCCAGCTCATCGCACGAACGCTCAGCCCCGACATCCAGCTGCCCTTGCGAGAGCACCTTGTGGTCTTTGAACCAAAAGTACGTCTCCAATTTCTTTTATCTGCCAGTGCTGCTAGCAGTCTGACCTGTGTGTGACAGGTATTTCCTGCGGTGTATCATTGGACCACCTTCCCCATATCGTGCCTGCTGGTGGAGCTCTTCGAGGACTTTAGCCAATTCCTGCGCGAGCGGAACATCATCCCGCCCACGCAAATTGAGCTGGTGGCCCTTCTGGAGCGATGCCTTGCATACGCATACACTGGCAGCGGCAAGGTCCTCATGATGTCCCTCATGGATCAGCTCCTGATCTCTCGTGGTCTCTTGTGGGACTCTTTGCCTGTCTTTCACCCTCACATATTTCACTTCGCCTTGGTCGAGTCTGGTGCAGTCCGCATCAAGGCAGAATCCTGGCCATGTCGCGGGGCGGAGCGAGAGCCGATCATGGTGTCTCTGCGTGCAGTCCAGTTGACTTGGGGATCGTCTCCTGCGGCGGTGAGTCTTCTTCTCCATGCAATTATTATCCCGCATTCGCGCACTGGGCGCGAGTGCGGGTAGACGTGTCTCTTTTGTTTGCATGATTTACCCGCACTCACGCAGAGTGCGCCAGTGCGGGTAAGAGTTCCTATTTTGTTGTGTTGTTTACCCGCATTTGCACTGGCTGGAGGTAGATCACCTATGTCTGCACCTATCAGTCTGCAACTCTCCTTATGATCACTGAGTATGATGGTTGTTATTGTGGAAAAATACTTACACTTACAACAGCTTGCAACTTACTTATTGTGTAGGAATTGCTACTTAGTTGACACGTGACCCATACACCTTTGACATCAATTCACTTCATTTCACAACCTTTGCCACGGATTGCCAATGCAGTTCTTCATTCACTGCTTCATGTCATCCATAGTATTACAATGCCAATGCATGCCAGACCTGGGCTTCACCACAGGTCTGGCGGTAGGCCTTTCATTCTATGCTCCATGTTACTTTTCAGGTGAAATGCCAATGCAATGCCAGCCCGTGGCGGACCACGGGCTGGCGACATTTGATTCATTCAGCAGTGCTGCCTGTTACTCTTTTGATTATTGATGTATATTTTCGCAGTGCTTACTACTTCCCATTACTGACATGTGATCTGGATTTGCTTTCCTGTTATTGACATGTCCTGATCTCCCAGTCATGATGTGTCTTGTATTTCCTGTTACTCATGCTTCCCATTTATTGCCTGTAGCTACTTAGGTATGCTCCCACTGTGTGATGCCCATTTTGTGCGGGAATCCCACCTCAGGGACACCTCAGGCAAGTATTCTGTAGGTGCAGGCGAGCAGAAGGCGCCCGAGCTGTTGCTGCCCATTTCTCCCATTACACAGGTACTGTTTCCCATAGCTGTTCTCTTCCCAGGATTCCCGTTGTCGCTGACATGCCCGTTTTGCCTGAATGTAGCCAGGAAATCCTGCCTCAGGGATGCCTTGGGCGGGATCGCGTAGGCGCCCTAAAGTGTACGTGCTGGTTATGAGTGACATTGTGACCAGTCAGCACAATGCACATAATGGGGTCAAACTACTGGTTTGTTACCCGGCCACCCGACGTGAGATTCGCCTATAGTTGCCCGGCCACCCGACGTCGGCCGACGGTGTGACTCCGCCGTTGTTGTCCGGGTCGGCCGACGGTCAAAATATCCGGGCGCGCGCGGATGGGCCGACGGGTCGAACCGCGATGGTGTTCCCGTCGCGGCCGCCCACCAGAGCTCGCAGGGTGTGTGCTGGGATTGGCATTGTGTGCCGTCATCCCCCGCGGGTCGGCCGACGGTGAGATGTTGGGGGGCTCACAGGTCGGCCGACGGTCAAAACTCACCATATACACCCTGACGGCCGAGCGTGCTCCGGATGCATCTGTACCCCGTCGGCCGGCGGTCGGACAGGACGTTGGTCCCATGGCGGCCGGCCATTAGGCAAACCATGGCATTCTGGCCGGCCGAGGGACCGCGGATCGACACCATTGGGATTGCTTTTCAGGGGAACCAATATTGCCCGGTCGGCCGACACCTCGTTTCAACGGTCCCATTGCGGCCGCAGCGACGTGTTTTCTACAATGCATGCATCTCCACCCGGTCGGCCGACACTGCACTACTGTAATGATGCCTGGTGGGCCGCCGTCCGGACGCATTGTTGTGACCTGGCCGGCCGACCCCTTGTGAACCCGCTGATATCCGAGCGGCCGGTCGTGATAATTGATAACAAATGTGCTGTCCATTCAATGTCTCGGCCGGACCCAAGTGGAAGGTATCTCCTTCCGGGATATATGTGTCGGCCGGTTGTCTGTGTGTTCCTTTCCTTCGTGCCCGCTGGTAAATCACATTTTGCGTATCCCACACACCACCAGAGCACACCCTCAGCATTGCGGATGCAGCCCGGATGCGCCCTAATGCAGCACTTCAATCACTGCGTAATCATGATAACGATGCACCCCCCCCGGAGAGTCCGGCCCGAGATCCCATAATGAACTGATCACAAGGAGATCTGCCCGATCTTCCGGGAATGTAAGACCATTACTAGACATTTACCAGCCACAGCTTTTGCATGCGACTGTTGTACAAACTATACAGACCCACCGAAGATCTCATCGAACCTTGCCGACCTGATCAACACAGTCTCCTCCCGCCATGCCGCACGAAAATCTCGACATGCGTGTATCCACTTATATGGTTACGTTGTACGATTACAAACTGGCTTGTTCGGCTGGGACTGCCGGGCAGAATGCGTCACCCGCGCCGGACCCCGACTTTAGTCCGGAAATGATCGGCCAGGCACACCAAATGGTCGACATCATTGCTGAAGCCTTTTCTCGTCGATGTGAGCATGGTCTATGCCTTGGCAACACGCCTAAGCTCACTGCATAGCCAAGTTTTCGTGGATTGGAATGCAGAGGATTATGCGGAGGCTATCCCGGCGGAAATCTCTGACCGGACAATGCCCCGCCTTCATCGCGCCATGAAGGAATTCCCGCCCCTTGAACTTGGCGACGGTATCTTCACACAGCCCGCCACCGCCATCGATGCAGCGGGACATATACTGCTTTGGTACCTGCCTGGTATCCTAACGGCCGCGCAGAAGGCAAGCCTTGTACCTTCCCGGGGTATCCATTGATGCTAACTCACAAACCCCTCAGATTAAGATATGGGAAAATGCTTTCCTACTCAATCCCATGCTCGAGAAGTGTCGTCCGCAGCCTTCGCAAACATGGCGGAAGCATCCGGACAACTTCGCGGCAACCGGACAATGGGAAAGCTTGGACCCCGGCTGCATATCTTTCTCTCCGGGTTGGTACCAGCAAGGTCACCAGGTACGCAGCATTGAGCAGCAGCAGTGCTGGACCAACATTGTCTCTCCAGGGTACTACGTATCCGCCACAGGTGTCCTCGACGTTGTCAGATCAACAATCTCCCGGCCGGGATTGGTTGCGGGCAATGACAGAGCAGCACGCCCTCATTGCAGGCATGCTCCGGATAATTCATCCGGAGTTGCATGCTATGGGCTATGCGGCCCTCGCCTCAACTCGGATTTGTCCCAACATCGCGGACGTTCTCCCCTTGTGGGGTAATCCATTCAACGCGATGTCCGTTATAACCAACCGCCGAACGCCACTCCACGTCGACAGAATCTCGGCAAAGGATTTGTACGATCTCCTTATAACAATTGGGGGGGACGACAACACGGTGTTAGAGCTCCCGACCCTCGGCCTCACATTGCAGTACGCCGGCGGGTGCGCGGCTTTGTTCTCCGGTTCCCTGCTCCCTCATTCCGTGTCACGTTCTAATAGGGAGAGGCTATGCGTAGTATACTACATGAGGCCCCAAGTGCATACATGGGCCAACGTTAGGAAGACCAGTTGGCTAACGGTCGACTTCTAGCTAGCTATCAGCAATTTTGCCTGTATTTCATGACCCGAAACATTGTTGAACTGCTTGGTTCTGCCACGGTAGTGCACCATCACAGCATTAAAAGGGGACGTGTCCTCCGCCGGACGCCCGCCACCGGACACCCGCCACCGGACGCCCGCCACCGGACACCCGCCACCGGACGCCCGCCACCGGACGCCCGCCACCGGACACCCGCCACCGGACACCCGCCACCGGACGTCAGGCGGCGGACGCATGTTGAGTTAGGGAAATTGGGATGGCGATAACGGTATAAGGAAACAGTTTGTATTATCGCCCCAGGTACATGATACCGTAGGCTGTGTCAGCATCCTTTTGTAGCAGTTTGTACATATGTTGCCTGTGACGGCACACCTCCGCATACCCAGGATACTTTCCGCTCTTCCGGTTGGCGGCATGATCTGCCCACCGTTTCGTCTCGTACTCAAAATATCTCCGGACAGAATCCAGCTCCCGGCGGAGGATATTGTCCTCTTCTTCGGCTCGCTCGAACTGTGACCGTGCTCGGAACCAATGCACACGGTGTACTGTAAAAAATCATGATTCTGTAGATGTACCGTGACCGGTGACCTGCTTACATTCCGTCATTGTCTCATTTGCGTTCATATCGCCTTGAACATCCGTCGTCCATATCCAGGGTAGCCGGGTATGTCGCTGCCCCCTCTGGTTCGGTTCTACGATTGCTGTGCTGACCTTCAAGTCGTCAGGCACCAATTTCTGGTACTTTCGAAGCGTTGACGTTGTTGCTCCGAGCACTGTCATCGCATGCCGCACCTTCCTGTACATACGGGCCTGGTGTTCCACTCCTTTCTGAACGGCATGCACATCCGCCCACGCCCGTGTCTTCCGCGACTGAGACTTGGCATCGCGCACCTTCGCTCGCATTACAAACGACTTTTGGCTGAGCAATATCCGCAATTGGTGCAAGATGTCGTTCGCTTGCCCGATTCGTAGCTCCAGTTCCGCTTTTGCATATGGCTGCACGTCCGTAGTCTTGATCGTGTCGACAGAGTAGGACGATGGAAGTGACAACGGCCGCCACTCCGCTGCCCTCCCATCTCGCTTTCTTGATTTCGGAGTAGAAGCCGGGACATTGCCTGTTACGTTGGGCCCGGCGGCTGCTTGGCCGTTGTTCTGCATGTCTTCCCAGTCGGATAGGTCACCGTTGTCATCGATAACCTCGGTATGCTGCCGACCGTCGTCCCATTCGTTCGTACCCACAATCTCCTCCCCCTTCCTTAGGAAGCGCTCGATCCGGAGTTCGAGCCGTTTTCTCTGTTTCGCGATGTTCAAACGCTGCTCTGCCGTTGTCTTGGTCCCATAGGCCCTTACTACCCGCTGCAGCGCAATTCTGTCGGATTGTGAGCATTGAATGTCGGACGGCCGGATTGTAATTACGCACTGTGCATCCTCAATCCTCATTCCCTCAACCATCCACTCCGCTGCTCCGACGATGATGTTGTTATCCCCTTCCTTTTCGGTCAGAGTGATTTGTATTTCCGCCCTTGACGGAGCTACTCTACATGTCAGCGATCAGTGGTGTAATATCCGCCACCCGCCACTCACCATGCTGGCCCTGAACCTCAAATGCGTCCATCACTGTCACATCCTTCACACGTTTTTTGTGGGCTTCTGTGACCGCTGACATCCATTGAGCCAGGATTGTAGGGTATTTTCAACCAATGTTCGGGGTCGGGGCGGGGGTCGGGTCGGGTTCCGCATGCACAACGTGACAGCCGAACCACATGACACCTTTATATTTCGTATCCACTAACCCGCACTCGCGCCGCGGCGCGAGTGCGGGTTAGTGGTCAGATAGGCGAGTTTGAACAAAGGCGCATCGGGCTCGCGAAAGGCTTCGCTCTGCATGCCCCCCTTCGCGCGACGGCGCCACCGCGGGTACGGTGACCCCGCACTTGCATTACCGCGGCAGGTGTGGGAAAATGTAGGTGTGCGGGGAATTTTAACCCGCGCTCGCGTCACCGCGCCAAGGTGGGTTAACTCACTGTTAAAAGGTAAGTTTTTTCCGTGTTTTCGCTGCTGTTGCGTCTGTATATTTAAATTAAGCACAGATGATGTGGCCCTCACCGACGTGGGTAACCTTCTGCTGTATGGGTGCCAGGGGTTATCCGCACCCGCGCTAACGGCGCGGGTGCGGATAACAACCTGGCACCCATACAGCAGAAGGTTACCCACCTTGTCAAACTCAATCCCAGTCGGTGTAAGGGTAGCGTTAGCGCCCGCATAATCACACGAGCGCCCAACGCTCGTGCCCATACATATAGGTTTTCCTTTCCTTTTCTCTTTCTTTTCTTTCGTCTTACTCATCTCTCGACCGATCCAGACTCCTTCCACATCCGTTCGTGGCTGTCGTCAGAGTTGCAGTAGTGGCAGCCCGAGTGGCGCCTGTGCCAAAGCTCGCCACTCCTCCCTTTGTACTATGACTCATTACGCTTACTTGATACGACTCTTCGCTCGATTCGGTCGACTCTTGCTCATGTATCAATATGATACCTACGCCGGGCTTGGAGCCCAAGCAACGATACGAGGACTTCGCCCACTCATCCGCTATCCGTCCGACTATCGCCCCGCTTCTTGTGTGTACCCGACCTCAACGCCGCCAGCTCACGCTCACCCGCAACATCGCTCGCCTCGCCGAACCCGGCTACCTCACAGTCGGTGAGTGAGTAGGGGGCACTTCACTGGGCTTGTGAACCGGGCCTTGAGGCCCAGTGAAAACGCCGAATATTCAGCCAGATTTCTGTTGGATTGTTGTGCTGACATTCGTGAACGGTCGTGGACGTTGGTTTACAGGCAATGGGGTGACACTTTTTCACCAGGAAACACGTGAGACAGAGTCTGCCGCTAAATTGGTGTGAGCAAGGGCACATATGCCATTATATTCGCTACTGCTCGATGCATGGGCTACTGCCCGTGACTATGTCAGCTCATGGCCTCGGCTTCAATCGACTTCAATTGCAGCTCTCGTTCAACTTGAAATGTCCTCGGGTACCGTTGATTTCGGACTGCTGTAATGTACGTCGAATACAGGCGAATGTGAATGGTATTCAAACTTCCAGCCTAATTACACAGCATCAAGTTCGTACTCGTAAAACTGACCAACAGATTGTATGTAACGTTCGTTCTGTGATGACCAGTCAAAGCCATGGCGCTGGCCCAGCTAGGAAGTGCAAACAATCGCTCACCCCGGACCTGGGTCTCCAAGTCGATGTGGACGCCGCTTTGCATCGGCCAACCCCGGGTCTACGCTGCCATTGTCTACACGCATTCCCGCCCACACTCAACCCCGTGTGTCAACTTTTGCCTAAGCCTGTGCCCGTGCTACTCGCTCCTGCGCTTGTGCCAGCCACACTCTTGCCGGCGCCCGCGCCTAAGCCTCGGGCACCTAACCTACGCCTGCGCCCATCCCCATGCCTGTGGTTTCCCCTGTGGCTTCTACTACACTTTCAGGCACGCCTGTCACACTCGCGCCGACACCCGTCATGACGACTGTACCCGCGCCTCTGTCCAAACGTGCACCCGGACACTCCTTCGATACCCCCGACGGACGCTCACCCACACCTGGAAATTGGACATTCACTCACACTCCGATGCTCGCCGCCCACACCCGGATGCCCACCGTGCGAGGAACCAACCATCCTCCGAGGTTGAGAGCTCCGAGACTGTGGCTGCAGCATCCGCAAGTCCGGGTCGTGCGAATACCAACATCACAACGGTAAGAAAGACATGATTGAGGCGATGAACGACGCTACTAACCAATGTTCTCGTAGATTGTCCCTGTTCGTCCACCATTGTATGTTGCGCACTCACACTTTCATTCTTTATTTATCGACGACTGACATATTATTTGATCCAGCAAAGTGATCCTTCGGCCTCGCAGGTCATATCCATCCGACTGGCCAAGGCATTCTTCAAGTCAGACCCGAATTTCACAGAAGAAGGCAGCGAAAGCGAAGGGATCAGTTTTGAAGGCGAGTGCGAAATACCGCCCAGATGTCACTGATCCACAGTACGTAGAACATCATCTCGATCGTCATCATTCCGAGTCGATGTAACTCAGCTCTGTGCAATTAGGAATATCCACATGGGGATCATGCTAGAGAAGAGCCCTACCGTAACCCACGACGACTGCAAGCCTAACTAAGCCTACCTTGTTGCCAGATGCCGAGAGAAAGGCAGAACTCGACGTACTTGTTTATCATGGTTTGATTGTACAGTCATGGACGGGTCACTGTAACGCCCAAATCGAAAGCAACCTTTCGACCACTACCAATGAAAACCTCAACGTTTTGTGCTCGAATTATTTTTATACATACCTTGCATACATCTGCCAATTTCTACCCTCATAATCCCAGCGACGAGTTCTCCGCAGCCCGAAAATGGGTGTTACAGTGGGTGATCAAGGTATCACTCTCATAGGCGCCCAATAACAATCAACCTATTGTGCGCCGAACTCACGGTTTCTCAGCCCGGAAAGCATACCAGTAGTAGCTAGATAGACCATTTATTCCATCAAGGTTGATAAAACAGTAGTAGCAAGTGAGAAACACAGTATGGTGGGGTGTGAAAGGGTGTTACAGTGACCGATCGTGTCACAGTGACCCGTCCATGACTGTACTGACTGGACACTGACCTTTTGCACTGCCCTTTATAGGCTTTACGAGAACGGGTCTCCAACGCACGGAACACGAAGAGGATCGGTGCTAAGGTAAGCACTCTTGATCATATCTACAGTTATTCTCACCGACATTGTGGTCGCGTCGATCCAGGCTACACAGTGAGCAAGACAAGCCTAGTACATGGTGGGCAGTAGAACTGAGTGGTTCGACCTCCTCGTGCTTGATCTTTTCTCTGACTGCCTTCGAGCCATGGTTAGTTATGAAACCAGGGTGTTGCCGTGTGATGAGAAGGTTGATCTTCCGCCGGCCGCTCGCGCAAAGGAGAAGCTTCGGGAAATGCTGAACTAATACGACGGGAATGTAAACTTCTATGGCCTCGTGGGGAAGGGCCTTCGATTTCAGAGCTTACTGTACACATCCAGTGATTTTGGTAACACTGATGGTTGTCAGAGAGTCGTGCTCGACGTCTCCGCGCTGACAAGCACAAAATGTCCATTCCGACTCCTTCAGAACTGCAAAATCCGAGTTACTATACTGCAATACAAGGGCGAGGGCTTCACCGTTATTACCCACAAAGTTATATTCGACTTCTCCACATGCGATGTTAGGATGAGTATCGATTGTCAACTAGCATGTGATTTGACATCTGCCATGGCCGTGTCAGCAGAATGTTGTAATTAATGAATGCAGACTAGGGCGAGAACGTACCCTGATGTTACGAGCAATACGAGTAACCTTCTTTGAGAGTTCCTTCCAAGCACTGCAGCAAATCTGACCATTTTTGAGCCTGCACCTCCATCGCTGAACACGACCTCGTTCCACACCCCATGGAGTCGCAGCTTCGAATTGAGCAGAGTACATGTGAATAGTGGTGTCTTCGGCTTCGCTCACATGGGAGGAACCTTTCTCTCAGGGATGCAGGGGTCAGACGCTGGCACGCGCGTCGAAAATAGGCATAGGACGTGAGCCAAGTTTGACTTGTTTGAATTCAGGGAGGAGGGCCTTGAGTCCGTTGACCTGTGCGCGTCGAAGTGCGTCTGATTGTCCGCTCGAAAGTGAGTTGTAGACTACATATCAACGGCCCTATGCGGCTTGTCTCGGATGGTGTGTGAGTGAGGGCGTGCATGCATTGCGGCAGGAAGTGCATACGAGAGACTTTGTCTTGAACTTAAAGCTGTTCAAATCCGTAGACAAAAATTGTCCATAGAATGTGCGCCCGTTCACGCTGCTCCGCAGTGCTTCGTCGCTGGAAGACAATTCGAACACCAGCGACAAGCTTGCAGAAATTGCGCCAATATTCTATTGGCATTATTCAATGCGGGAGCGCATGGCCGAGCCCGTACATCCAGTGTAGGAACCCCCAGCATTTGTAGCCGCTTGAGATGAGTCTTCTCAGCTGGATTACGGGGAGGGCGGTCGAATGCACACGGTAGGTTTTCTCTCGCCAGTGCCGCTTGTTTTCTACGGTGCTGCCTTCTCCGACGAAACAAACCAACCCCCATAATGCCTTGCCATCGCCATTTTACACAGTGTCACAGTCCATCGTACTGTAGCGAGCCCCACCACCCGAATGGGGCTGTGACGTGTGGTGCGCAGGCTTTACACGATCCGGCGCAGCGGCGGGGACGCGTGTGACGGGTGACGCGCCCGCCAGAATGTGGTCTTGTCGTTGTGCCCACCGCAGGCCCCTCCTAGCGCCCATCGACCATTGTTGGCGCCGGCGGCGGGGCGGGTGTGACGTGCAACATGTCGTCCCCGCGGCGGCGGGCGGTGGGCTTGTGACGCGTGGCCTAAGTCCGGGTTGTGGGGTTTGCTACAGTACCTCGGAGGAGCTTTTGCAAGAAATTAGTGATATTCAGCCCACATAGATGCATGATGTCGCCTGGAAAAAACCGTGGGTTTGGGAGCATGCAAATGCGCGTGGGGCGAGAGAAAATACTCGGCTTCGAAATCTCTGTATCGAGTCGCCGCTCCTTGTAGTCAGCAGGGACGAGATGCTTGTACACGACGAACATTGAGGTCGTGGTCCGCGGGCGAGGCTTCGAGTATGTCGGAAGGATCATAGTCAGGGTGATCACAGCCCATTTCAGAGTAATTGTCTGGCTTTGCACAGACGGAGTAGTGATGTGATCCGCTAGGCTTCCTAAGCTCAGGGCAATCACATCGCAGGCGTCACGTTTTCTTCACATGGTGTCCAACGTAGCCAGTCAGCTCAGGTGCCTCAACCGCAAATGTTTCGGCGAGAACAATCCAGGGACGTGAACGAAGTGTGACATGTCGTGCAGCATCCCAGATAATCAGCCCTTCATTTTGCAAGGCAGCAGCATGATGAAGACCGGTGGAGAGATATGAGTCAGAGCTCTTAGGTTTCAGTGGGCCAGAAACAATTGGGCCTTGGAAGACCTGCGTCTTCTTAAGTACGGGTCAGGGTAGAAATTGACGGGGATCCATATATAGATCCAACAATTTGATGCCTTGTGCTCGTAGATCTTGGCCCCATTCAGAGAGAAGATGGGGTACACGTCATCCAGTTTGATATCGCCACGCTGCTAGGCATGAATCCCAGAAATTTGACCCGTCAGGAATATCCTCGACGACGTCCAGTTTCCTGTCTCGCGCAGCTCCGCAAAGATGCCGTCTATGACACTCCTGCGATATGCCATGTTGTCTGCACCGTCAGGGGGTCGGAAACGTGCCCAATTCTGAGGGCAAACAGGAAATGTACTGAATTGCTGTCGCGCCTTCGTCTTACCAGCCGAAGCGAGAAGCGCAGCATCGTAACGCGGCTCGCTGCAGGAAGGGCATGCTTCCTGGTCTTAACATGGACTTGTGTACGCAATACAGCGGTTCACGCACATTGTCCTCAATGATCGCAACAACCCCGAGAGCTCGGAAACCTTCTGTTTGACCGAGGTGGTGAGAGAGGATGTCGCAATCTGGGAAGCGTTCGAGGATCGCATCGCGTACGCCATTGTAGATCTTTTCGGATCCATCTGTGTCTGCGAGGAGCAGCTTGATTGATAGCTGTTTGTCTGTACTGATATCAGGGGTCTCCATCAACGGACGTTTCAACCGTGAGATGGTCTCTGCATCATGCCTCTCGTGCGCGAGCCAGGGATTCGGCTGGAGCTTGCGGATGAATTTGAGGGCTAGGTTGACAGCTGGTATGTGGGAGGACGCCGCGGCGTCCCCTACGTCTGGTTCAGACGACCATTATAGGGGCTTTTTGACCAATCCTTAGGGTGAGGATGGGGTGAGGATGGGTGAGGAAGGCATTTTCACGTTCTGAGCATTAAACGTCTCACCCTCGCAGCATGAATCTCAGCGTGCATAACCCGCGTTCGCGCCATGGCGCGACTGCGGATGCGAGGTACTCTTACCCGTGTTCGCGTCATGGCGCGAACGCGGGTAACATGCAGTCTCCGTTTGAGTCTGCGACTGCCTTCTGCCAGTCACCCTTACCCGCAATCGCGCCATGGCGCGATTGCGGATGAGTGCGCACATCCATTGCCTTGTTTGGCAAGTCCGAGCGCCCGCCCGATCTCACAGGCACCCACCGACTTGTTCGTGTGCCCTGGTGCACAGAGGGCATGCATCTGTGGTGTACCACATCATCCATTACACCCTCCGCATGCGGCGTCCATTCCGTGTTGTGCGTCAGTGATGTGCAGTGACAGGGCAGGCGAGATCATGTCAGCCACCTGCTCAGCCACCGACGGGTGCTCACACGATCTCCTGCCCACAACCACCATCTCCCGCCTCTCCTGCCTCCTGCCTCCCTCTCTTTTACATCCAGCAAGCCCACCGCGCCCTGAGATGATGTGCGTACCTGCGCATGAAGACAGCCAACCCGGAGATTGTGCGCGCGTAAGGTACGTGCACGCAAGATGACCTCTGTGAGTGCGAAACACGGTCGCCCGCAAGTTGATAACGCGGCAGACGAGTATACATCAGCAGAGTGTCCTTGTTTCGAGACACACGACAAGCTCACCTCCCGATGTTCTGGATGATTCGCCATACCGACGGGTTGCTCGCGACAGGACTCGCTCGAGAGTGTCCATCAAACCACCTGCCCGGGCTGTTGCTCGTATTACTGGGTACGCCTCGATGATCATTGCGGCACCCTATCGGTGCGCCCTGTGTGTTTCTATCCGCGCGATTGCGAATAGGCACACTGTCCTTGTTTTCATCGTCTACCCGCGCTCGCGCCACGGCGCGAACACAGGTACTGTGCACTGTTCTGAGAGACTCTCAGACGTACTTGTGAATGCTCTTTACCCGCGAACGCGGGTAAGTGCACTGTTTGTGTCAAGGTTTTCTGGGACGTAAACGTAGGCGCAAGTATAATATTATTATGTATAGTAAGCAGAGTGCCAGGCAATCAAGGAATTTAATTCAAAGGATGCCCCTGGTAGGGTACTCCGAGTATGTTACCCGCAATTGCGCCACGGCGCGATTGCGGGTAAGAGTACACGTGAGCACCAGCATCGCTTCTCGCACGTGGTGTATCGCTTCAACCAGGCGTGCAGCGCGTGCGCGCCGTGTGGACTGGTCTGTCCGCACCGCTGCCGGTTCCGCTGCCCAATCCCACTGTCAATCTTGCTCGCATCACTATGGTCGGTACCTACGACCTCCAACAATTTGCGCTTGCTCAGTGCGCATTCACCATCAATCACGCTGACCTCACGGACAACGCGCGGAAAGCGGCTTTTGGCCGCGTGCACAACATGTACATTTTCACGGACTTACCGCCGCAGCCCAGCGAATGGACCGCTAAGCAACTCAAGGCGCTCAACCGCCTGTTGCGGTCGTTGCTCAACAGCGCTGTCTCGTGGGACGCATTCCAGTACATCGTCCAGCACCACATCCTGGTAAGTCAAGCTTTCGTGTTGCCGCGAGATACCGCCGCGCCAAACGACGCGTTGACAGACCGACCCGTGGCTCATGTCGCTGAAACAGTCAAATCAATATGACCAGTTCCCCCTTGTGCTCGCGACCTGCTTCAACTGGCAGTACCGGACCGCAGAGGGCAACTTCCCGAACACGATGGAGGAATACTTCATGTGGAGGCACATACCGTACGTCACCCTCGAAGAGGACAGCTCGCGCGAGACCAGTAGCGCGTCTCTCGCGCTGTTCTTGAAGCAGTGGTGGATCCGTAAGTCCTCATGTGTTGCGCGACTATGGACTCACGCGCGAGCTGCTCGACTGCAGGCAACGACCGTGTCAGGTCCGGTAAGCAGTTGCTTACCGCTCTCCATTGGCCAGCCGCACTGACCAGTCGCTCGATCAATCCCAGGTGGACCGCCTCTCTCACATGAGGCCAACGACTTCGACTTCAGCCGTGTGTCGGACGCAGAGCGCGCCGCGGCAAGGGAAGAACAACGAAGGCATCGCAGCCCCAGGGAGCATTCCCCGCTGCCGCCAATGCTCGACAACGTGGTACGTGGTTTCCTTTTTATCTCAATCGTAGCCAATGCTTACTGACTTGTAAGCTGGTCGAGGCCGCGCGGTGCAAGCGGTGTGTGAATGACGGGCGAGATGAGTGTAGGGTGCCCTTCGCGAAGACGTGCTGTCACCGCTGTATGAGGAGGAAGGTCAACTGCTCGCTCACGGTAAGTCATGTTGTATTTCTGTCTTTCTCTGTGACGCGCTCACTCGCTACAGGACCAACGAGCCTCTGAGGCGGTTGACTCGCCGCGCGCGTCCCTGGCACCTGTGCTGCAGAATAATTCCGCACCCGACTCTCTACCACGTGCACGCTCGTCATCGCGTTCGCCCGCGCCTTCTCCATCGCATTCGCCCTCGCGTTCTGTCACTCGCTCGACGCCCGCATCGCCGCCCAACGTTGTATCCGACTCATCATCCCCGCTGCCGGCCGGGCGTATCGCATCTGCACAGTCGCACTCGCCCGCTTCTTCTGCAAGCCCATCGACCGTCTCAGTGGTGCAGATGATGGACGTGGATCCTGTGTCGCCAGGAACATCAAGCAGTGTTGACGCGGGTGCTGGGCCTTCGAACTTTGGAGCCCATCGTGTCGCGAGACGTAAGTGGTCATTCTTTGATTGAGAAACGGAACACTCATGCTGGTATAGGCAAACTCAATGAGCTTGACACCGATGCGATCATCCGCGATGTCAAGCGATCATCGGATCTCCCTATGGCCGAACGATTGAACGTCCATCAGGGGGTGATCGCGCGGCTCATCAACGAGGTCGCCAGATTGCGGGGTGCCCTTCAGGCGACGAAGAAGAAACGTGCTCGGTATGGGGGTGATGAAGATGATTGAGTAGGAAGGTCGGGATAGTGTATCGCATCGTGCATGTATGTAAACCACATGTACTACCACTTCTTGAGCATGCTCACATATTGTTTCATTTATCTGACCACCGAACTACGCGCACTTGATCAACGATCTGAGACGTGCGAATAATTAACACACATGCTACCCGCACTCGCGCTACGGCGCGAGTGCGGGTACAAATCTGAGGCAGCTCGACGGATTTTGATGGTTCCAAACGGCAGGTACGATCACGTCAATTCATTCATTTTAGCGAGCGATACTGCGACCTCCCACAGTCAACAAATACATGTACAGTAGTTACGCCCAGTGTCACGAGTGAATCGATCTACCCGCGTTCGCGCCACGGCGCGAACGCGGGTAACGACAATGTGAAGGGATGCGATGGTGTTACCCGCGTTCGCGCCGTGGCGCGAGTGCGGGTAGTTGCACCGTTTTCAATACAAGTCACTTCCGCATCTTCCTGACGTCCTTCGAGAGCTTCGCGAGGCGGGACTCGAGCGTCGCGGTGCGCTGGTTGCTGTCCTCAAGGTCGCTCTCGAGCTTTGCGACCTTGCGCTCGAGAATAGCGACCCTGCGCTCCGCCGCTCTACCTTGTTGGCGGCGTAATGCGCATTGTCCCGCCGGCCTTCGCAATCTCCAAGGCGAGCTTGCTGCGGTCTGTCGCGAGACTGGCTTCTTCAGCCGCGAGCTCGTACCGGTCCATCCCCGTGCTCCTTCGCGGCTTGCTGAGCCATTTGCGAGTGAGCTCCGGCTCGGCCCTAACCTCGCGATCATTTGCCTCTTTCTCCGCTTCGCTATCCTCCGTGTCATCCTCGGCACTATCGTCTTCACCGTCGATCTCGTCCTCGTCCGTGCGGTGACTCCTACCGCACCTGTGCCCCGTCCGCATCCTCGTCCAACTCATCGACACTTTCATTGCTACTGGTGGGCCGAACGCTCGCGGGCGAGCGCGAAGCATCGGACTGAATCGGAAGGTGAGTGAGAGGAAGTAGCGAGTGTAAATCGACGTACCGGTACGAAAGACGTAGCATCAGAGGTGCGCCGACGGCGCTTGCGGCTGGGCCCCGCACGCAGCGCCGTGTCAGACCTCTCACTCTCGTCACGCGAGCTTGCGTGGGCCCGCGACGCAACGGCTTTTCCCTTGTGCGTCGATCCGCGCCTCCCGGTCTGTGGAGCTTTCTTGGGAACGCTGAGCCACTTCTTGCGCATGCCTGCCGGAACCTCCATGTTCTCGGTTTCTTCATTTGGCTACCCCTATGCCTGGTGCCCGGTGCCCCTGCTGGGCAATCTAACCATATATGGAAATATTTTCCCACGACCCCCTGCTGGGCAGTGCCTGCCGGGCACTCCCGACCGCCAACTCAAACTGTCTTTCTACGTGCATAACACATCCATCCTGACCATTCTCGCTCGTCACTGTCGTTCTCTCACTCACATCCTCTTTTCTCTTTTCTTCAGCACCTCTCACAGGGACCCACACTGCATATCGGACCACTCTCACTCGTGGCTGAAACAACTTTGAATGTTGGGCGTGCCCCACTGCCAACGTACACACGTCACCACCTGTATGTCCCCACATGCAATGGGACCTGTTATCCATTCCTTGTCAACAGCAGGCAACCAGAAGGAGAGCAATACATCCGCTCAGTAGTGCTACTGTTCCACCCGTTGCACCGTCAACCATCACTCACCGAACAAATCCCCAAGTCATGCAATGTTACGATTCCTGGTCTGCTGAATGTGTGGCAGCACTCCATGTACGCTAGGAAAGACATTCCAGAGCATATCTGGCCTCTGTGTGCACTGAGCAGAAGCACGGACGACTATTGGTCTTATTATGCCAACTAACCACCGATTCAATCCCAGAGCTGTGCCTGTTGACATTTCAAGTGGTCTAAATGCACCACAATAGTCAGTCGATATCAGGAGATGTTTTCTCCATCAGACACATGCCCTCCGTGCCCCCCATAAATCCACGTTGAAATACAAGTTGTTTCCGCTGAACAAACACCAAACAAATCACAAAGTTGCACACAATGACAGCTCAGGCTTTCTCAACAGGCAAGAATGGGCTCACAATGCCAGGCCTACTCCCCAACTCATATGCAAGCCATATGACCTCTCAGCACAGCTGCGGAACGTCTGAGTTGTTCCCGACAACAAAACAACAAACAATTCACAGAGCTATACCAACTCACAATCTACATGGTCTGAACTCACCATAATAGCATGTCTGTCTCAGGCAAGGTTCCCACATCAACGCAAGCCATCTAACCGCTCAGTAGTGCCACATTTAAATGAAAGTGATTTGAGGGAAACAAATACAAAACAAATCACAGTGCTGTGCCCAATGGCAAATTTTGCACTCTCAACATGCCACGACAGCCAATCAGTACTAGGAAATCACACACACCTCACTGACAAGCCACACTGCCACTCAGTATAGCCATGCAGAGTCTTAGTCATTCAGAATGACAGAATACCAAACAAATCACACAGCTCTATTGAACAACAACCCAGACAGTGTGAACATGCCAGAATACTCCAGACTACTTAGAGCTATACCTGAACTCAATCGGAAGCAATATGACTGCCCAGCTGAGCGATATTCAATTACGAGTGATCTCAATAAAACAAACACCCAAATAATTCACAGCACTGTCACCAGTGAAGGCCTGTGTGGTCTGAACATGCCAGGATAGTCCATCAGTACTAGGGACCACACCACAACTCACCCGCACACCATACAATGCTTCATTAGAGCCACACCAAATCTGAGTCATTCTCGCTGACAGAATAACCAGCAGGGCACAGAGGGACAACCAATGGTGTTATACTGAATCCAAAAACAGCAAAATATCCCATCTATATCTGGAAATGGATCACAAGTCAAACAGAAGGCATACGTGCACTCAACAAAGCCACATCTCAATATGAGCAGTGTCGGCTGCACAAATACAAAACAAATTGCAGGGCTACACTCAGTGACATTCTTAGTGGTCTGAATATGCTAGAATGGTCCATCAGTACTAGGGACCACACCACAACTCACCTACATGCCACATAATGGCTCAGTAGAGCCACACCAAATCTGAGTCATTCTCGCTGACAGAATACTCAGGAGGGCACAGAGGGACAACCAACGGTGTTATACTGAATCCAAATATGGCACAACATTCCATCTATATCAAGGAATGGACCACATGTCAAACAGAAGGCATACATGCACTCAACAAAGCTGCATCTCGACATGAGCAGTTTCAACTGAACAATCATGAAACAAATCCCAGAGCTGCACTGAGCAACAATCCTACTGGTCTGAGCATGCCAGAATGGTCCATCAGTACTAGGGATGATACTACAACCCACCCGCACACCATATGATGGCTCAGTAGAGCCACACTCCATCTGAGTCATTCTTGCTGACAGAATAACCAGCAAGGCACAGAGAGACAACCAACAGTGTTACAGTGAGTCCAAATATGGCACAATATTCTGGCGCTATCGAAGAGTGCTCCCCAAGTCAAACAGAATGCCTACATGCGCTCAGCAAAGCCACATTTCAATATGAGCAGTTTTGGCTGAACAACTATCAAACAAATCACAGAGCTACACTGAGCAATAATCCAAGTAATATGAAGGTGCCAGAATGCTCCATCACTACTAGGGCCCACACCACAACTCACATGCACATGATATGACCCCTCAGTAGAGCCACACACAATCTGAGTCATTCTCGCTGACAGAATCAATGGCAGCCCACAGAGCGACAATGGCTCATAATTGTGCTGGTATGAAGATGGTAGAATAGGGAGTCTGTATCAGGGAATATTGTCCAACTCACATGCACCAGTCATCTGTGCCCAGTAAGGCCACATCTGAATATGAGCACACTCCACTGAACAAATACCAAACAAATCACAGAGCTGTACCTACGGACAATGTAGGTCATATGAACATGCCACAATATTCTATTGATACTGCAGACCACCACACCACTTGCTTGCAAGCTATAAGACCACCCAGTAGGGTTATATTTGAATATGAGGAGTTTCAAATGAACACACACTGAGCAAATTACTGAGCTGTGCCAACTGCCAATGTAGGTATTGTGAACATAGCATATAATCTGCCTATACTTGGAAATATTTGTAGAGTCATACACAAGGCTTATTCCTGCTCAGCAAAGCCATCTTTGCTTGCAAGTATTTTCCTTTGAACATATATGAAACAATCAACAAAGCTGTACCTGTTGGCATTCCTGGGGATCTGTATAAGTCATAAGATTCTTTATACTTAGCATTCTGTCTTTTTGAGCTATCTTTCATCTAGCTTGGATGATAAGCAAGTATGCCAGTGTCATGCTATTATGCACAGAGCAAATGGCAGTACATGAACAATATTGTATGCTTATTAGGATGGTCTGTAACAACTGCAAGTATATACAAGGGGAAGGTAGGATTAAATGATTGTAAGTGCGAGTTTTTTTTTTCTTTTTTTAGTGGAGATATGGTCACAATAATACACCCAATTACTGATCTGGCTCACTAAGCTCAGATGAGAGCTCCTCTTCCAAGCGCTGGCGCTTGGAAGGAGGTTGTCCAGCGCTGGTTGAAGGCCCAGCTATCTTCTCCCTGTAGCGCTGGAACAAGTTATCAGCCTTGTTCAATGCCTTCTCAGCCCTCTCCTCAGCCTTGTACGCATCACGCCGGATACGCTTTGCTGTCCGGTTCTGCCGCTTAACCTCCTCCGATATCTCCTTCACCTCACCCTGCCTGCCCAGCGAAGCCGCGACATCTCTCTTGATCATCGCGACATCAGCACCCATGATGGCCTTTGGGATGATAAGCATCCCAGGATCTACCTTCTTTACCGCAAGTCCACGGTGCATGCCATCCATCTGGAAGCGCTTACGAGCGCCTTCCGAGACACACGGCCAGTGCGTATGCACAGTACGTGAGTTTGTTCCCTTGCCCTGAGCATACAACTCAGGAGAAAGAAACAATACAAAAGATAATGAACACTCACTTTGACATGATGACCTGCCAATACTCGCTCGCAGACGAGCTCGCCAGCCTTCAGAAGCTTGTCCCCTGGACATACAATGTCAGTGAGGCTACTCAGCATGGAAGGGTTAACACACATACCAATCGTGCATCCCTGGTTGAAGCACTTCGTATCCTTACTCCTCTCAGACCAGTAGAACACCTTCCCAGGCGTCGCGTTCAGCTTGTCCGCATAGGACCTCGTCAACTTCCCCTTGTCACGAATTTGCTTCTCCAGCTTCGTACGTGCATTCTCATGCTCCTCCGCAGCCTTCGCAATATGGACCTTGTGCGCAGCAGCTGCAGCTTCGGTGTGTGCATTCTGCATGTCAATTGTCAGCTAATTTCACCGAAAGGAACTGTCAGTACTTACGAACCGAGTCTGCCTACGAGGCATCGCATCGTCTGCATCCAGGTCGACAACCCCGACACTGTCGTCCTGTTGGTAGTCTTGCTCGCCCTCGTCTTCACTATCCTCGTCCTTGAATTGATGTTAGTTCGGCACAAGATATACTCACCAGTCACTTACCACGCGGCCTCGCTTCTTCGACAATCGCAGTTTCGGGATTCGTATTAGCACTGGGTCTACGAGTCGAGCGAGCCTCAGGGCCTCAGCAGACGCCGCCGCTTTCGCAGCCTGCGCAGTCTTACGTTTTTTCGCCGCAGTCGCAGCTTCGGCTTCCTCCTTCGCGGCCTCGTTGGAAGCCCTTGTGGCATTGGCCTTCGCAGTCCTCGCGTCTCTCGAAGCCTTCAGCGCGATGACCGCCTCGGCTCTCTCCTCCTCCGCAGCCTGAGCCTTCGCGGCCTTCGCTGCCACGGCTTTCGCAGCCTTGGCTGACGCCGCTTCGGCTTTCGCAGCCTTGGACACGGCAGGCTTCGCAGCCGCGGCCTTTGCTGCCTCAGCCTTCGCAGCGACGGCCTTCGCAGCGACGGCCTTCGCAGCGACGGCCTCTGCTGCGACAGCCTTCGCTGCCTTAGCCTTCGCTGCGTCCACCTTCGCTGCCTTCGCCGCGTCCGCCTTCGCTGCCTTCGCCGCGTCCGCCTTCGCCGCCTTCGCCGCGTCCGCCTTCGCCGCCTTCGCTGCCTTCGCAGCGTCCGCTTTCGCCGCCTTCGCCACCTTCGCCGCCTTCGCAGCGTCCGCGTCCGCGTCGGCCTTCGCCCCGTCCGCGTCCGCGTCCGCCTTCGCCGCGTCCGCGTCCGCTTCCGCTTCCGCTGCCTCCGCGTCCGCCTCCGCCGCGTCGCTGGTCGGCACTGCTGCCGCCGCGTCAGCTGTCGCAGCATCCGCCGCGTCAGCCGTCGCCACGTCCGCCGCGTCAGCCATCGCCGAGTCAGCCCCGTCTGCGTTCGCTGCGTCACTGGGCACCGCCGCGTTTGCCGCGTCGATCGTCGCAGCGTTCGCCGCATCCGGTTTCGCAGCCTTCGAGGCCCGACCCTCATCCGTATTCACGGGTGCGGCAGCCTTGTCCTTCGCGGCGTCGGTCTTCGCAGTCTTCACTGCGACGAACCGGCCCTTCTGGAGGTATGTATGTGTTAGTATGTGCCACGTTTATGCCCAGTCAGACTTACCGTCCGTCGCTGGACGCCCGGGAACAGACGGCGAGGTCCTGGCGGCGTTCGCTGCGCCGGTAGCATCTCGTCGTCTTCCTCGTCGTGGGCTGGACTTCCGCCGTCCCCGGGCTCGCTGATGCCGGCGTCGACCTTCGTCTTCGTGTACGTATCCTCGTCACTACTGCTGCTGCTGCTGCTGCTGTCGTCGCTGCTACTGCTGCTGGCGTCACTGCTACTGCTCTTCTGGCTGCCCAATACGGTGGTGCGGCTCTTGTCGCTGCGCTCGTCGGCGGTGCTGCTCTTGTCCACCTTCACCATTTTCCACCCATCAGACCGCTGGCTGGGCGGGCGGGGGCTGTCCGAGTCCGAGTCGGAGCCGGCGGGCTCGGCGGTGCGAGCCATCTGTAAGGTCCGAGTTAGGCACACTCGCGCGAAAACATTAAAAAGAAACACTTACCTGGACGAAGATTACCTTTTCCGGACAGAGACGACGTCGGCGTGGGCGACGGCGGTGAGCAAAGCTGAGCGTTCGACGATGGAGAGGGAGGCGATGGTGAGAAAGGAAGGAAGAACGACGCGCTAGCAGCGTCGATCGCCCGAATCGGCAAGTCCCGAGGCGGGCGCTCAACACTTCGCGCCTCGCCACTCTCCCTCTCCTCCCACTCTCCTCGTCCTCCACCACCCTCGCCGACCCTCCACCGCCTCTCATCTCACCTCTAACGCACGCCCGACGGCCTCGGCATAGACAAGACATGTCGGGCGAAGAACCTCGCGGTACAGCCGGCCTGCAAAGCGCGCCAGCCACGGCAAGTCCGACGGCCCACGACGACGAGCAACGCGCTCGTCCAGGCGAACGTGCGGCGCGAACAAGTGCGCTGCGCGTCGAAGGAGTCGCCGGTAGCCGCATGGAGAGGGAAACGAGGAGGTGAACGGCAGGCAAGGCCGTTAGCATTCGGAGGTGAGTAACCTCTACCTCCCTGTCTCCCCCTACCCGTCCTACCTCTCTCGGTCGCCCGCGCGTGCAATTGGCTGCGTCACACGCAAGCCCAGTACCCCCCGGGCCTTCGTCGACATCCTGCACAAGCGCGGGCTGGTTTCTCGGCAACGGCGGGCCCTGCAGCGCCGAGCCCGCCACCTCCACCTCCTACCGGCCTCCACCCCATCCCTCGCTCCCACAGCCCGCCGTCTGCGTCAAACGGAGGCCCAGGACGCCCCGAGCGTACGCCAACACCCCGCACAAGAGCGGGGTGCTTGGTTCTCGAACGGCGAGCCGTCCAGTGCCGAGCCCGCCACCTCCACCTCCTACCGGCCTCCCACCCCATCCCTCGCTCCCACAGCCCGCCGTCTGCGTCAAACGGAGGCCCAGGACGCCCCGAGCGTACGCCAACACCCCGCACAAGAGCGGGGTGCTTGTTCTCGAACGGCGAGCCGTCCAGTGCCGAGCCCGCCACCTCCACCTCCTACCGGCCTCCCACCCCCATCCCTCGCTCCCACAGCCCGCCGCCTGCGTCAAACGGAGGCCCAGGACGCCCCGAGTGTACGCCAACACCCCGCACAAGAGCGGGGTGCCTTGTTCTCGAACGGCGAGCCGTCCAGTGCCGAGCCCGCCACCTCCACCTCCTACCGGCCTCCCACCCCCATCCCTCGCTCCCACAGCCCGCCGCCTGCGTCAAACGGAAGCCCAGGACGCCCCGAGCGTACGCCAACACCCCGCACAAGAGCGGGGTGCTTGGTTCTCGAACGGCGAGCCGTCCAGTGCCGAGCCCGCCACCTCCACCTCCTACCGGCCTCCCACCCCCATCCCTCGCTCCCACAGCCCGCCGTCTGCGTCAAACGGAAGCCCAGGACGCCCCGAGCGTACGCCAACACCCCGCACAAGAGCGGGGTGCTTGGTTCTCGAACGGCGAGCCATCCAGTGCCGAGCCCGCCACCTCCACCTCCTACCGGCCTCCCACCCCATCCCTCGCTCCCACAGCCCGCCGCCTGCGTCAAACGGAAGCCCAGGACGCCCCGAGCGTACGCCAACACCCCGCACAAGAGCGGGGTGCCTTGTTCTCGAACGGCGAACCGTCCAGTGCCGAGCCCGCCACCTCCACCTCCTACCGGCCTCCCACCCCCATCCCTCGCTCCCACAGCCCGCCGCTGCGTCAAACGGAAGCCCAGGACGCCCCGAGCCTACGCCAACACCCCGCACAAGCGCGGGGTGCTTGTTCTCGAACGGCGAGCCGTCCAGTGCCGAGCCCGCCACCTCCACCTCCTACCGGCCTCCCACCCCCATCCCTCGCTCCCACAGCCCGCCGCTGCGTCAAACGGAGCCCAGGACGCCCCGAGCGTACGCCAACACCCCGCACAAGCGCGGGGTGCCTTGTTCTCGAACGGCGAACCGTCCAGTGCCGAGCCCGCCACCTCCACCTCCTACCGGCCTCCCACCCCCATCCCTCGCTCCCACAGCCCGCCGTCTGCGTCAAACGGAAGCCCAGGACGCCCCGAGCCTACGCCAACACCCCGCACAAGAGCGGGGTGCCTTGTTCTCGAACGCCGAGCCGTCCAGTGCCGAGCCCACTCCCCACCTCCTACCACCTTCGTATCGCCCTCTCGTGGCCCCCGACCTCACCTGACTTCCTCGAAACACGGCCCAGGTCTTGCCGCACACGCCGACGCGCCCTACACAAGGGCGGCACCTTCCGATCGCGTAGGGCGGTCATCCAGCCTCGAGCGAGCCGCAGCGTGCGCGCGTCGGGCTCGCTGGTTTCCACCGTACCCACCCCGGTCCTTATGGCCGGGGCGTATTTTCTATATGTGTACAGTAGATAGCTGCGAATAAAGCATGCGATTCGCACCACACACCACCGAATAAAAACCCGCGCCAGACAACGAGTAACGATTCGGTAACTAGCCAGTAAGTAATGAGTCAGTAAGAAATCGTAACGACGGTATAGTATATAGTCTATTCCGTTCCGTAACCAGTAATGCCGTTATGGCTAAGTGGTTGAACGTCCTACGGGACGCATGAAGGCTGGGGAAACCTGTGCCAGGTACTAGTGAGCCTACGGGATCTAAAGTGCTCCGTCGCTTAAACAAAGGTGAATACCTTCTGACTGTGGGGAGTCGATGCCCACGACTTGCTAGCCTTCAACCGGAGCGTTTGAGCCCCTTCTCTATTCTCTATTCCTTTTTTTCCTTTTTTTCTTGACCGCGTTGGCCGGTGTTCGATCTCGCGCGCGCGTGTACGGAAAATGCCGCACGGGCGCTCGACAGCTGTCGCGCCCGAACCGTCGTTCTCTACCCTCTCCACCTGTCTACTACGACCACGACCGCCAACGCCAACGCCGAGTATGCCCACCCTGGTGCTACACGCGCACGTCGCCCCGCTGACATGACACTAGCGCACCGAGTATGCCAACAGCAAGCCGTGCCAGTAGGTCGCCCGCCGCCGCTCGGTCGCCAGCGCACACGCCGACCACGAACCTCTGGCTCTCGAAGGCCACGAAGGACACGCACGGCACCACGGCGCGACCCAGCACACCCGTCCACGGCAGCTTGCAGGAGACAACGCGCCCACCAGCTGGGACTGGGCACGAGTAGGTGCGTCACCCCTGCCGACTTCCCATCTCGCTACCGCCCTCGTACCGCCTCTGCGACGCGTACCGCGGACGTACCGCGCACGTCAGACGACCCCGCATAATGGTGGGGTCGGTTTCTCGTGCTCTACGCCCCGCCACGTCTCCGTCTTTGTGACCAAGCCCACTGCCTCGGCGCCCCGCCCTCTGTGTCTCTGCGAGGCACTACGCGCGTGCGGAGGCCGAGATCCCCACATAAGACGTCCCCGCAGAAGAGCGAGGTCATCTGCTCGCCTCGGTAGGCCCTCCCCGCCATGTCATTACCGCGCCGCCCTACGACAGCCCCGCTACCTCGCCTCGCCGCCCTCAACTTCCCTCGGACGCACCATACGCGTGCCGAGGTCGACCCGCGCACGCCATGACGACCCCGGCGGAAGAGCGGGGTCGTCTATTCGTGTGCCACCGCCTTCGCAGTCAGCCCCCGTCGGCTTACCGTCTCTCGGACGCGTCCAATGCGCGTCGGAGACCTACCGGACACGCCAGGCGACCCCGCGCAACAACGGGTCGTCCTTGGACACTCCCCGCCACGTCACCGCCTCCTCGCGCTGCCCATTACCGCGCCGCCCTACGACAGCCCCGCTACCTCGCCCTCGCCCGCCCCTCAACTTCCCTCGGACGCACCATACGCGTGCCGAGGTCGACCCGCGCACCCATGACGACCCCGCGGAAGAGCGGGGTCGTCTATTCGTGTGCCACTGCCTTCGCAGTCAGCCCCCGTCGGCTTACCGTCTCTCGGACGCGTCCAATGCGCGTCGAGGACCTACCGGACACGCCAGGCGACCCCGCGTAACAACGGGTCGTCCTTGGACACTCCCCGCCACGTCACCGCCTCCTCGCGCTGCCACAGCCCTCCTATGTCGCCGCGCCGCCCTCTACTGTCTCGCCACCCACCCCTACCTCCTACCGTCTCCCGGACGCACGCACTGTGCTCCGAGGAGGCGCAGTGCCTGTCAGATGACCCCGCACAAGAGCGGGGTCGTCTGCTCGTGTCGAACAGCCCGCTCTGCCACGTCAACGCCATCCAGCCCTACCGCGGCCGTACGAGGACGGGCTGACTGGTGGATGACGTGGCGAGAGGCGAGTGGTATAGACGACGAGTAGGCAAGACCGCGAGAGGATGAGAGGACAAGCGACCTGGCAAATGGCACGGCGAGTGCACGGTAAGACGGACGTACCATAAGACTGGCGGACGAGCAGCCAAGTCAATGATGGTGTGAGAGTAGGGGGGGATGCGTCGATGCGTGGCGACAGGGCGAGCATCACCACCGAACAAGAGGTAGAGAGACTCGGATGCCGGGCGGGTGAGCGAACGCACGGGCGAGAAGCCATGCGGGTTGGATGACAGGCTGGCAAGAAGACGGCGGTCGAGGAGACGGGCAGTCGAGCGGGCAGACGGAAGACGCAGCGTATGGATGGATTAACGAGCGGATGGACGGAATAGCGAGCGGATGGACGGAAGAGCGAGATGCTCTCCCTCTCCTCCTCTCGTGCTTCCGTCTATCTGCTTTGCTGTCTGTTCGTCTCCTCGCCCTTTACTCCACCGTTCACCCTGCTCGCCGTGTCTTCCGTTCCGTTCGTGCGTGCCCCCGCGAGCAAATGCCCTCCATGCCCATTGTTTTAATGTGTACATATCTAGTCTATCCCGTGCGTTCTTCGTACGTGTCCGCCGGCATGAGTGCATAACTGTACTTCAATTGTATGTATCTTGAGTGAGTGTACTTCGACTCGGTGTACTTCGGACTTAGTCTACTTCGACGGTACGTACTGCAACTGTATGTAATTTGATTGAATGGACTTCGAGTGAAGGTACCTCGAGTGAATGTCCTTTGATTGAGTGGATTCAATTGGATGTCCTTCAATTGTCTGTACTTCGACTGGATGTACTTCGACCCAGTGTACTTTGAGTGTATGTCCTTTAATTGAATGGGCTTGATTGAATGCAGTTCAATTGACTAATGTCCAATTGAATGTACTTCCCATTGCTGCAGTCAGCATAGCATGCTGTCTATGCAGTCTTGTGGATGTCCTGCAGTGTACTGTATAGGCATAATAAATTTGTACTGTTCTTCATTGGATTACTGTATACCTGTAAGAGGTCAATGAACTGAGCAGCTCTGTACTATGCTATCTCATATATTGGATGGGC